AGTAGTAGTAGTAAGTAGTAAGTAGTAAGTAGTAAGTAGTAAGTAGTAGTAGAAGTAGTAGTAGTAGTAGTAGTAGTCGTAGTAGTAGTAGTAGTAGTAGTAGTAGTAGTAGTAGTAGTAGTAGTAGTAGTCGTAGTAGGAGTAGTAGTAGTAGTAGTAGTGAAACGCGTCCAGAAAACGGATATCAAAATGAGAGAGACGCGCAGCTGCTCGGGCGCAACACGGCGGTGCCGCCACAGGCGGAGACCCAGCCCGCGGCGCGCACGATCTGCAACGGCCCTGCGGAGGGCCAGACAACACGCGACAAGCCCCAGGGGAAGTCGCGAGGCTGCCAGCAAAGCTGGTCGGAGGGCGGCAAAATCGCGAGAAGGCAGTGGACGCACCTGGTAGTAGCGAGGGGCACGCCACGTGTCACAAAGGGCAGGGTGCACAAAGACGCTTAACAGCGTGGGACACGCACACACGCATACACACATATGCACGCACGCACACCACACAGCACAACACAGAACACACAACACGCAACGCACAACGCAGAACACACAGCACGCAACACATAGCACACAACGGGACACACACACCACACATCACGCAATTCACAACAGAAAACATAACACACAACACACAACACACAACACAAGACACAACAAGCAACACACAACACACACACACACCACATACCACACAGCACACCACACATCACAACGCACACCACACAACACACAACACATAAGTCACAACACACAACACACAACACACAACACACACACAACACACCACACATCACACAGCACACAGCACACAACACACAACACACAACACACACCACACAACATGCAACACACACATGACACATCACACAACACACAACACACAACACTCAGCACAACACACATGATACACAACACAAACCAAACACTACACATCACAAACCACACACCACACAGCACACAACACACAACGAACAACACACATGACACAACGCACAACACACAACACACCACACACAACACACACACACACCACACATGACCCAACACACACCACACAACGCACACCATGCACCACACAACACACACCACACAACACACAACACACACCACCAAACACACAACAAACAGCACACATTCCACACCACACAACACACACTACACACATCACGCCACACAACTCACACCACACAACACATAACACAGAAAACACATAACACACCACACACAACACACACCACGCAACATGATACAACACAACACACAAGACACAACACACAACACACAGCACACAACACACACCACCAAACACACAACACATGACACGCAACACCCGACACACAGCACACACAAGCAACACACGACACGCAACACCCGACACACAGCACACACAAGCAACACACGACACGCAACACATAACACACAACACACACCACACAACACACAACACCCACCACACAACACACAACACACATACACACCACACAGCACGCAACACACAACACATGACACAGAACACACATCACACACCACACAATACAACACAGAACACACACACCACACAACACACCTCAAACAACACAACACACACCACGCAACACACAACACACAGCACACGAACAACACACACCACACAACACACAACACACACACACACCACACCACACACACCACACAACACACAACACACAACACACAACACACAACACACAACACACAACACACAATACATAACACACATGACACAATTCACATCACACAACACACAACACGCAACACAAAACACACAACACCACACGCAACACACAACACCTGTTACGTCGGCGGCGAGGCAGAAGTGCTGCTCAAGCGGACGGCGATGCGGGACGATCGATACGCGAATTGTTTTGCGTGCACAACGCGCAACTCACACACCACACAATTCACACCACATACCACACACCACACAACACACAACACACAACAATCATCGCACAGCACACTACACGCAACACAACACACAGCACTCAACACAACACAGCACACACAACACACAAGACACACAACACACAACACACACAACATACACACCCATATGGGGGGTCGGAGGCAGGAGGTCCAGCTGTGGGTATAGGTGCGTGTTGTCGGACCACGGGGGAGGCTTCCGTTCGAGGGGGGAGCCCCGTCCGACAACATGCACCCATAGCCCTTCTGTTCCCCTCATTGTTGTGCGGTTTTTTATGCAAGCCTCAGAGGGTCCCAGTTTTTCTGGGCCGTTTCGAGGATTTAGTCCAGCTTTCGTCTGATGTGGTTGACATCTGGACGACATCTGGATGAAATCGATTCGAAAGGATGAAGAGGGGTGGTCGACATCTGGGCGACAGCGGGTCGACATCACGTTTAGGAGAGGGCCGCGGTTTCCACAGACTTTCCCCACGAAGGCTCATCCAACTATGGGTCTGGGTGTGTGTTGTTCCTTCGTCAGCCGTTGTGCCAAATGAGGCCCCGTTGCATCCCTCGGCTGCTTTCGA